TAGACTAGACTACAACTAGACTATAGACTAGACTATAAACCTAGACTAGACTATAGACTAGACTATAGACTAGACTATAGACTAGACGAACTAGAGACTAGACTATAGACTAGACTATAGACTAGACTATAGACTAGACTATAGACTAGACTATAGACTAGACTATAGACTAGACTATAGACTAAACTAGTCGTATTCATGGACTAGTCTAAGACAAGTCCGATATCTAGTCTAGTTTAATTTAAAATTTCAGTAAATGATCTTCAGAAAGATATTGATAGATCTCAAAGATCTGCATAGATTAAAGTGTAGCATACTTTTAAATGTCAAAACTGCTTCTTTTCTTAGTTAAACACTAGATTGGTGTAAACACTTTTAAAAATTTTTCAATGTTTTCTATCAACTGACAATTTTAATTAAATTTAGCAAATTAGTAAAACAACCAAGTATATCAAGGATATAAAAACAATTGTTCTAATTGCTGCAATTGTGAAAATGCGGTCAATGGAAAATTAGAAAGTTAACAGAGTCACAGGAAAAAAAACTAAACAACAAAATACAACAAATAAATCTACATAAAAAAGAACTTAACAATTTTAAAGAATAACTTAATAAAAGATGATCCCCACCCAAGCGGAAGTTGCAAGGATAATAAACTTTTCTATTGTTATAAATAAAGAAACTAAGAAAAACTATTGCAATTAAATTTATTAACTTTTTATAGAGAAAAATTATAGTAATTAATTTTAAAATAGAAATATGAAACGCATAAAAAAAAAAGGAGACAAAACAAAACTAGAAAAACATTTCTGATTATTGAACTATTTCTAACAAGACACAATAACCTTTAGCAGTCATAACAAAACAATAGCATTTAAAGAATGATGGAAAAATTAGAGGCATACTTTTAGGGTGCGGTATTTAATTGTATTGGGGGAAAATTTTTTTAAACGGATGTTATGATTGTTAACAACACACTAATGAATAAATAACCAGACAGACAAAACAGAAACTAGAACACAAACACATATATATTTTCTAAATAAAAGGAGTAAAACTGTCCACTGTATAAAAAACCAACTTTTTTAAGGTTTATTTGTAGCCAAGTTTTCATTGTCATTTAAAAACATAAAAAAATATATATGATGATGAAATGATATCATCTTTTTCTTTGGTTTCTAAACATCTAATATCGACTGGCAAAAGATATATGATCAAACAACCTATTGCCAACAATGCTGCCCTGAAATAGGCTATGGAAAGTTTTCTTCTTTCTTTGCTCTTTCTCTATCTATTTCTCTGTGTGTTTTAGTAACATTTTGAATTTTTATTAAATTACAAAAACATTTGGCTGAAAATATATAATATTTGCCATAAAATACACATTTATACAAAATGGTCAAACTATGAAAAAAAATGGAATAATTTTAAATGAAACGTGCGAAAAATAAATTTATATTTCAATATTCTTAATAAACCAATTTCTAACAAAATCTAATTAAAAAAATTGAATTGGATTATAAAATTAAATTGTAAATACTGAACTGAAATATTTTGAAAATTTCAGTTTTTTTATCAAAACATTTCAAAAACCCACCAAAACCCACACTCCCTATAACGCACATAAAAAATACTTTGTACTTGACTTCAATATCATATGACATTGACTGACTGCAACTACTGACTCAATTATCATATCGTCTTTTAATTTCTTACTTTGGTGTATGTGCTGGAGGACAAAGATATGGGTGGTCTCTTGCATATAATTTACGATTTCACCCAGAGACGTAGTGCACAACAGCTAAATGAATTTTAAATGTTGAGCTATAGTTGTGCAATATTTTATCCTTAAATATGTTTTTTTTTTTTTTTTGTATTTTCATATACATATTTATTTATTTGGCATTCATATTTGCTTTTAGTTGAGTGATATGTAGTCAATATATCATTGTCATCATCAACATTTGTTATTATTGTCAATTGGCATGTGTGGAATTAGAAAACCCAGTAGGAAATCTATTTAAGCGAACAGTCCGACTTTATAACATGATCAGGAACTAAACTAGAACCGAAAAAGCACTCTACTAGAACTGAACTAGAACTGAACTAGAACTAAACTAGAACTGAACTAGAACTGAACTAGAACTGAACTAGAACTGAACTAGAACCTGAACTAGAGAACTGAACTAGAACTGAACTAGAACTGAACTAGAACTGAACTAGAACTGAACTAGAACTGAACTAGAACTGAACTAGAACTGAACTAGAACTGAACTAGAACTGAACTAGAACTGAACTAGAACTGAACTAGAACTGAACTAGAACTGAACTAGAACTGAACTAGAACTGAACTAGAACTGAACTAGAACTGAACTAGAACTGAACTAGAACTGACTAGAACTGAACTAGAACTGAACTAGAACTGAACTAGAACTGAACTAGAACTGAACTAGAACTGAACTAGAACTGAACTAGAACTGAACTAGAACTGAACTAGAACTGAACTAGAACTGAACTAGAACTGAACTAGAACTGAATTAGAACTGAACTAAGGAACTGAACTAGAACTGAACTAGAAACTGAACTAAAACTGAACTAGAACTGAACTAGAACTGAACTAGAACTGAACTAGAACTGAACTAGAACTGATTACTAGAACTGAACTAGAACTGAACTAGAACTGAACTAGAACTGAACTAGAACTGAACTAGAAACTGAACTCGAACTGAACTAGAACTGAACTCGAACTGAACAAGAACTGAAATAGAACTAGAACTAGTCTAGTCTATAGTCTAGTCTACTCTATAGTCTAGTCTACTCTATAGTCTAGTCTACTCTATAGTCTAGTCTACTCTATAGTCTAGTCTACTCTATAGTCTAGTCTACTCTATAGTCTAGTCTACTCTATAGTCTAGTCTACTCTATAGTCTAGTCTACTCTATAGTCTAGTCTACTCTATAGTCTAGTCTACTCTATAGTCTAGTCTTTAGTCTAGTCTATAGTCTAGTCTATAGTCTATCTATAGTCTAGTCTATAGTCTAGTCTATAGTCTAGTCTATAGTCTAGTCTATAGTCTAGTCTATAGTCTAGTCTATAGCTATAGTCTATCTAGTCTATAGTCTAGTCTATAGTCTAGTCTATAGTCTAGTCTATAGTCTAGTCTATAGTCTAGTCTATAGTCTAGTCTATAGTCTAGTCTATAGTCTAGTCTATAGTCTAGTCTAGTCTAGTCTATAGTCTAGTCTATAGTCTAGTCTATAGTCTAGTCTATAGTCTAGTCTATAGCTAGTCTAGTCTAGTCTAAGACTAGTCTATAGTCTAGTCTATAGACTAGTCTATAGTCTAGTCTATAGTCTAGTCTATAGATAGTCTATAGTCTAGTCTAATCTATAATCTATATAATATAATCTATAATCTAATATAATCTAATCTATAGTCTAGTTTATAGTCTAGTCTATAGTCTAGTCTATAGTCTAGCCTATAGTCTAGTCTGTAGTCTAGTGTATAGTCTAGTCTATAGTCTAGTTTATAGTCTAGTTTATAGTCTAGTCTATAGTCCTAGTTTATAGTCTAGTTTATAGTCTAGTCTATAGTCTAGTCTATAGTCTAGTCAATAGTCTAGTCAATAGTCTAGTCTATAGTCTAGTCTATAGTCTAGTCTATAGTCTAGTCTATAGTCTAGTCTATAGTCTAGTCTATAGTCTAGTCTATAGTCTAGTCTATAGTCTAGTTTATAGTCTAGTCTATAGTCTAGTCTATAGTCCAGTCTATAGTCTAGTCTATAATCTAGTCTATAATCTAGTCTATAGTCTAGTCTATAGTCTAGTCTATAGTCTAGTCTATATTCTAGTCTACAGTCTAGTTTGTAGTCTACTATATAGTCAATCAACATTCTTTTATATAGTCCAGTCTATGGTCCAGTCCATAGTCTAGTCTTTAGTCTATTCTTAAGTCTTGTCTATAGTCTAGTCTTTAGTCTATTTTCTACTAAGTGTAGTCTTTTTCAAAATTCTCATAATTTTTTATTCCAAAATTAATTTTTAATTTATTACCAATTCCTCTATTTACCCAATATTCTCGATATTCTTTAGATTACTTTATATGTATGTATGTATTGTTCATTTTCATCCTGTACACATACACTCATAATACAACGCCTTAATATAGGCCATGGAGTATATGCAGTTATTTGTTCATTACATACAAGTACAATAACACCATTTCCAAAACAAACATTTTAAATTAAAAACTATAATTATCTTTTCATAAAGAGAATTTCCCTAACAAAATCACTTGGAAATGGTTTAATTTCACACAAACTGACGTTGAACTTTGCAGCAAACTTAGTTAGTTGACTGATGCACTTCTACATTTGTTGACATTGTGCCAGACATTGAGACTTGGGTTTTCTATTAAAGATTTGTTTCCAACAGCAGCAGCAGTCTTTTATACATGGAAATCTATGGAAAAGTTTTGTGAATGGAAAATTATTTAAATATTTGAAAAAGAAAGAAGGAAAAAACTTTGAAATTAAAGACTTCATAAACTAACAAGTAACACTAGTGCATAACAAACACTCTAGTCAACAACACCTTCTTTGACAACCATGGCTAAAGAACAAACATTTTGAAATTGTAGTGAATAGTTAGTTGGTGACAAATGAGTGTATATTTTGCATACTTTTTAGTGAATAGCGGAGCAACAGGTGTTGAAATTTAATGCTATTATAAGAGAATAAAATAAAACCAGGAAAAATTGTGCAAATTTTATAATTATAAGAAAAACTATTGAAAAGTAAGAATTCAAGTAATTAAAATAGTGTTCTTAATATTAAAATTTTCCTTTTTTTAGTATTTTTATACAATTTTGTTTTTAATGATGCTTCCACGGTCTTCTCATAAGCAAATATTTAAAGCTGTTAATTTTGCTGCTTAAAAAAGAAAAAAAAATTATATAAAATATTAGAAAAACAAAATAGTTTTTAAAGAAATTGCAAAAAATAACAAAATACCAAAATGAAAAGTAAAATACGTTATACACGCAGTAAAAGTTTCAAAGAAATTTTAGGTTATAATCATGATAAGTAAGTATATACAAAAATAAAGCATACCTTAAGGGGTATAGTAGAAAAAAAGTTTAATTTTATATTTTTTAATAAATTTATTTATAAAAAATGCCTTCATTACTTTCATTTTATAGGGCAACAGTTTCCTTTACTAATCTACTTCTTCTTTTTATATATCAACAGCGATGATCAACCAGATTTGGGTCTCTCAAATTCCAACTTCACAGCAAGTTCAAATTCTAGTCTGTCATCGGGTGGTGGCTCCGAGAGTCCATCCACTTCGATGGAACAAATGGGTGGAGCGGGTGTTGCAACACCTACAGCCACCACCTCAGCAATGCATCACCACCATCATCATCAGCACCAGCACAGTCATCAGGACTCGTTTCATGGCAGTATTGGTGGTTCTTCGAATGCTAGTTTTTTGGGTGGTTCAGCGGCTGGTGGTCAAATGGCACGTCATTGGAATTTTGAAAGTGATGAGGAGGATGATCTCAATGAGGCCGACTGGAGTTCAAATGTAGCTGGCGAAATACTGGCGGCTCTAACAGATGCCGAAAAGAAACGTCAAGAGATTATAAATGGTAAATTTGTTTAATTACATAATCCTTAAAAAGTATTAACCTCTTTCTTTTTCTTCTTCCTTCCTTCCTTCTAGAAATTTATCAAACCGAACGTAGTCATGTCCGCACTTTAAAACTCTTAAAACATTTATTCTTATTACCCCTCCAAGAAAGTAATCTACTTTCTCAAGATCATTTAATGTTACTCTTCCCACCCTCTTTGTCATCGCTGTGTGATCTACACGGTGCCTTCGAGCAGAAACTCAAACAGCGTCGTCTCGATCATAATTATATTGTAAATAGTGTTGGTGATCTATTCGCCGAAATGTTTGATGGCAAAAACGGTGAAGAGTTGCGTGAATTTGCCGCCCAATTTTGTGCTCGTCAACAAATTGCTTTAGAAGCTCTCAAAGAGAAACGTCGCAAAGATGAACAATTACAAAAGTTGCTTTCGAAAGCTGAATCACATAAGGCCTGTCGTCGTTTGCAATTGAAAGATCTATTGCCGACGGTATTGCAACGTCTTACCAAATATCCCCTGTTGTTTGAAAATCTCTATAAAGTAACGGTGCGTGTGGTGCCCGAGGATACGGCCGAGGCGGAGGCTATACAGAAGGCTTTAGAGTCGTCGAAAAAGATATTGGTCGATGTTAATCAGGCGGTAAAGACAGCTGAAGATGCGCATAAGTATGAGATTTGTGTTTGTGTTGCTAAAAGTGATTTTGTTTATTATTAATGCGATTTTGTTTTTCAGATTGCAAAATATTCAGCGTAAATTAGACAAATCAACATTTGATAAGGACGAATTCAAGGTGAGTTTTATTGTTTTTGTTAGATTTTATTTAAAGCCTTTAGTTAAGTCCATAGTCTAGTCTATTTTACAGGCTACAGTCCGGGCTATTGTTTAGTCTACGGTCAACACTATGGTATCGATTATAGTATCGTGTATGGCTTAATATATAGTCTATGACCTAGTTTTGTCTATAGTCTAGTCAATAGTCGAATCTATAGTCTTGTCTATAGTCAAAAAAACTGTAGTCTAGTCTATAATCTACTTTATAGTCTAGTCCTTAGTCAAATCTATAGTCTAGTCGATGATCTAATCTATAGTCTAATCTATAATACAGTCTATAATCTAATATATACTTTAGTATGTTGTCTAGTCTATAGTCTGATCTATATTCTAGTCAATAGTCTAGTCTCTAGTCTAGTCTATAGTCTAGTCTATAGTCTAGTCTATAGTCTAGTCTATAGTCTAGTCTATAGTCTAGTCTATAGTCTAGTCTATAGTCTAGTCTATAGTCTAGTCTATAGTCTAGTCTATAGTCTAGTCTATAGTCTAGTCTATAGTCTAGTCTATAGTCTAGTCTATAGTCTAGTCTATAGTCTAGTCTATAGTCTAGTCTATAGTCTAGTCTATAGTCTAGTCTATAGTCTAGTCTATAGTCTAGTCTATAGTCTAGTCTATAGTCTAGTCTATAGTCTAGTCTATAGTCTAGTCTATAGTCTAGTCTATAGTCTAGTCTATAGTCTAGTCTATAGTCTAGTCTATAGTCTAGTCTATAGTCTAGTCTATAGTCTAGTCTATAGTCTAGTCTATAGTCTAGTCTATAGTCTAGTCTATAGTCTAGTCTATAGTCTAGTCTATAGTCTAGTCTATAGTCTAGTCTATAGTCTAGTCTATAGTCAGTCTATAGTCTAGTCTATAGTCTAGTCTATAGTCTAGTCTATAGTCTAGTCTATAGTCTAGTCTATAGTCTAGTCTATAGTCTAGTCTATAGTCTAGTCTATAGTCTAGTCTATAGTCTAGTCTATAGTCTAGTCTATAGTCTAGTCTATAGTCTAGTCTATAGTCTAGTCTATAGTCTAGTCTATAGTCTAGTCTATAGTCTAGTCTATAGTCTAGTCTATAGTCTAGTCTATAGTCTAGTCTATAGTCTAGTCTATAGTCTAGTCTATAGTCTAGTCTATAGTCTAGTCTATAGTCTAGTCTATAGTCTAGTCTATAGTCTAGTGTATAGTCTAGTCTATAGTCTAGTCTAGTCTATAGTCCATATGTCCATATGTGTTCTAAACTCTCAGTTCATAGTCCTGGCTATTGTCTAGTTGATAGTGCAATCTAAAGTCTATAGTCAACAGTCAGTTCTATAGTCGTATATATAGTTCATTCTGTAGTCTGTTCTATAGCATAGTTAATAGTCTAAGACTCTTCCGATCTTTGTATTATAGTTTCATTAAACAAATTTTTTAAATTCCTTTCAAATTTATTTCAGAATTTGGATTTAACACAATACCGTTTGATACATGATGGTAGTTTGACCATGAAGAAAAATCCAAGTATACAATTACATGGTTTATTATTCGAAACAATGATTGTATTACTGACAAAACAGGTAAAAATTTTTGTAATTGATTTGATGCAAAAATCGTTTAATAATTATCTTAATTTCATTAATTTAGGACGATAAATATTCATTGAAATATTTACATGCAGCCCGTAATACCGAAGTTAATAATAAACCCGTTAGTCCCATTATGAGCATCGATTCGGAAACGTTGGTGCGTCAGGAGGCCGCCGATAAGAATTCATTTTTCTTAATTAAAACAAAAACATCACAAATGTTGGAATTACGAGCGCCAAGTAGTTCAGAATGTAAAACGTAAGTTGTCAAATTTTGTTTTTTATTATTTCTTTAAAAATTTTGAAAATATCTCTCTCAAATTGCTGAAAAATAAGTGTATAAAATATCGGTTAAGAAATGATTCGTAATTTTTGGACATAAAAGTATACAATATAAAACGCAACAAATTCAAAAATTGTGTAAATATGTCTACATTATGAAAAGCATATAAATCATAAATACAATTCATGCTTGTCTCCTTTCAACAGTGTTGTATTTTTAAAAATAATTGATTTTAATTGTCAAACCCCCACAATGTCAACATGTCTGCGAAAAAATAATTATTATTACAAGTAATACTTTATTAACGAGTAAATATTTCAATATTTTCATTAACATAAAATATTTACACACTTGCAAAATATTTCTACTCATAATTTTAAATGTCTTTAGTTAATTTTTTGTTTTTATTACCAAAAAAATAATGCGGAAATTTTTCATCAACACAATGGGTTGACAGTTTTCAAATTTGTTTTATATATTCTCATTTTTCTTCCAATTTCAATTTATATTTACATACTTTTCTTTTAAAAACATATTGAAAATTATTCTTTTTTAATATTGTTTGTGTTAATTATGACACATTTAATTACTTGTTAATTTATTTATTGGCCACTTAACGCGTGTGCTGTTTGTTTTACTCTCGCCAGTGATTTTCGTTTGTTTTATTGCCAAACGAATGAAAAAATAAGCAGAAAAAAATCAAGAGTGCAAGTTTATGCACGTTTAGAGGGAGGTCGAGTTATATATCGATAATTGGCTGTTTAACTGAACAGCTGTATTTTATTGTTAATGGTTTTCATTTTGTTATTAATTATTTAAAAACAAAATTTTTGTGCAATTATTTTAATATGTTTAAATAAAAAAACATTATAAGTGTTAGGAATTTATGATTTTTAAGCAATTTAGAAATTTTTAGTTTCGCTGAAGAGAAAACGTTTAAAAGAAGAAGTTGCACAGTGTCAAGTATATAGTCTAGTCTATAATATAATATATATACTATTTTACAGTCTGTTCTATAGTTTAGTCTATATAATAGTTTATAGTCTACTATTTAGTCTACAGTTTTGTCTATAGTCTAAACCATACTCTTCTCTATAGTCTAGTTTAGTATATAGTCTAGTCTATAGTCTAGTCAATACACTAGTCGATAGTCTAGTCTATAATCTTGTCCATAGGCTAGTCTATAGTCTAGTCTCTAGTCTAGTCTAGTCTAGTCTATAGTCTAGTCTATAGTCTAGTCTATAGTCTAGTCTATAGTCTAGTCTATAGTCTAGTCTATAGTCTAGTCTATAGTCTAGTCTATAGTCTAGTCTATAGTCTAGTCTATAGTCTAGTCTATAGTCTAGTCTATAGTCTAGTCTATAGTCTAGTCTATAGTCTAGTCCTATAAGTCTAGTCTATAGTCTAGTCTATAGTCTAGTCTATAGTCTAGTCTATTAGTCTATAGTCTAGATCTAGTCTAGTATCTAGTCTATAGTCTAGTCTATAGTCTAGTCTATATCTAGTCTAGTCTATAGTCTAGTCTATAGTCTAGTCTATAGTCTAGTCTATAGTCTAGTCTAGTATATAGTCTAGTCTAGTCTAGTCTATAGTCTAGTCTATAGTCAGTCTATAGTCTAGTCTATAGTCTAGTCTATAGTCTAGCTAGAGTCTAGTCTATAGTCTAGTCTATAGTCTAGTCTATAGTCTAGTCTATAGTCTAGTCTATAGTCTAGTCTATAGTCTAGTCTATAGTCTAGTCTATAGTCTAGTCTATAGTCAGTCTATAGTCTAGTCTATAGTCTAGTCTATAGTCTAGTCTATAGTCTAGTCTATAGTCTAGTATAGTCTAGTCTATAGTCTAGTCTATGGTCTAGTCTATGGTCTAGTCTATAGTCTAGTCTATAGTCTAGTCTAGTCTAGTCTATAGTCTAGTCTATAGTCTAGTCTATAGTCTAGTCTATAGTCTAGTCTGTAGTCTAGTCTATACTCTAGTCTATACTCTAGTCTATAGTCTAGTCTATAGTCTAGTCTATAGTCTAGTCTATAGTCTAGTCTATAGTCTAGTCTATAGTCTAGTCTATAGTCTAGTCTATAGTCTAGTCTATAGTCTAGTCTATAGTCTAGTCTATAGTCTAGTCTATAGTCTAGTCTATAGTCTAGTCTATAGTCTAGTCTATAGTCTAGTCTATAGTCTAGTCTAGTCTATAGTCTAGTCTATAGTCTAGTCTATAGTCTAGTCTTGAAGTTTAAATAAAAATGTTTTTCTTTTTATTTTTTTATTTATTCAAAAATTATCATTATAATTATTTTTGATTTTTATACAAATATGATATAAAAAAATCACAAAATGACCCCATGATTTATTGCATTTCAATTACCTTTGTTCGGAATTGTTTGTGATCTTTTGTCAATTTGTTTTTTTTTTTCAGAAATACAATTCATAATTTCTATTTTATATACAAGTTAAAAATATTACAAACAACATTAATCTTTATTTTGTTTGTTTTGAACATCTCCGCTTTTTGCATTTTATTTTTTTTTTTGTTTTGTACAAAAGTACACTGACAATTTCTTCACCTTGAAAAATGACACTTTTGTAAGTTCAATGTTAAAATATGTACATTTATTAAATATTTATTTTGTTTATATTAAAAAGAAATACATTGTAAAATTATATTTTAAAATGTTTTTCTTTTTTTAAAAATTTGCAACACAATGTTATCAATGAAATTTTCTTTGATGACCAAAAGGGGTGGCAGTAAAAAGCAAAAATATTGAACATTTTTGAAATATTAATTATACATTTAAAAAAGTTTTGGTTATATTAAATTTTTTAAATGTTTTGCTTTCCATTGTTATATATATTTTTACGCACTTACTTTTTTTTTCGCTTTGATAATCAAAACTTTGAAAAATCATAATTAAATACAAATATCGAAATAGATGATTAACATGTCAGCTCTTGTTGCACTTGACAATGAAAAGAAAAAAAAAAATATGTTTAAATGTGACAGATTGTAGTGGAGCATTGTGATTTTTTTGTTTCACTAAATCGTTTTGTAATGTCTAAAAAAGGTTAAACGAGTTTTGTGATTTCTAACAGTTGTCTTATGTATAAAATATAATAAATAAATATAAATAAGTGATCGGCATTTAAAGTAAACAGGGGCTGAGAGTAATATTAATATAGAATAGACAGAGAGATAAATAGATAGATAGATAAATAGATAGATAGATAGATAGATAGATAGATAGATAGATAGATAGATAGATAGATAGATAGATAGATAGATAGATAGATAGATAGATAGATAGATAGATAGATAGATAGATAGATAGATAGATAGATAGATAGATAGATAGATAGATAGATAGATAGATAGATAGATAGATAGATAGATAGATAGATAGATAGATAGATAGATAGATAGATAGATAGAGATAGAGATAGATAGATAGATAGATAGATCTATCGACTAATCGTTGGAATAATTTAGAAATTTTCGCGGCTTATAGTCTATTCTATAGTCTAGTCTATAATATAGTCTACAGTCTACTCTATGGTGTAGTCTATAGTCTAGTGTATATTCTAGTCTTTGGTATAGTTTATATTCTATTCTTTGGTCAAGTCTATATTCTAGTATTTGGTCTATAGCCTAGTATAGAGTCTATAGTCTAGTCTATATTCTATTCTCTGGTCTAGTCTATATTCTAGTCTAGTTGATAGTCTAGTCTATAGTCTAGTCTATAGTCTAGTCTATGGTCTAGTCTATAGTCTATAGTTAGTCTATAGTCTAGTCTATAGTCTAGTCTATAGTCTAGTCTATAGTCTAGTCTATAGTCTAGTCTATAGTCTAGTCTATAGTCTAGTCTATAGTCTAGTCTATAGTCTAGTCTATAGTCTAGTCTATAGTCTAGTCTATAGTCTAGTCTAGTCTATAGTCTAGTCTATAGTCTAGTCTATAGTCTAGTCTATAGTCTAGTCTATAGTCTAGTCTATAGTCTAGTCTATAGTCTAGTCTATAGTCTAGTCTATAGTCTAGTCTATAGTCTAGTCTATAGTCTAGTCTATAGTCTAGTCTATAGTCTAGTCTATAGTCTAGTCTATAGTCTAGTCTATAGTCTAGTCTATAGTCTAGTCTATAGTCTAGTCTATAGTCTAGTCTATAGTCTAGTCTATAGTCTAGTCTATAGTCTAGTCTATAGTCTAGTCTATAGTCTAGTCTATAGTCTAGTCTATAGTCTAGTCTATAGTCAGTCTATAGTCTAGTCTATAGTCTAGTCTATAGTCTAGTCTATAGTCTAGTCTATAGTCTAGTCTATAGTCTAGTCTATAGTCTAGTCTATAGTCTAGTCTGTAGTCTAGTCTATAGTCTAGTCTATAGTCTAGTCTATAGTCTAGTCTATAGTCTAGTCTATAGTCTAGTCTATAGTCTAGTCTGTAGTCTAGTCTGTAGTCTAGTCTATAGTCTAGTCTATAGTCTAGTCTATAGTTTAGTCTATAGTCTAGTCTATAGTCTAGTCTATAGTCTAGTCTATAGTCTAGTCTATAGTCTAGTCTATAGTCTAGTCAATAGTCTAGTCTATAGTCTAGTCTATAGTCTAGTCTATAGTCTAGTCTATAGTCTAGTCTATAGTCTAGTCTATAGTCTAGTCTATAGTCTAGTCTATAGTCTAGTCTATAGTCTAATCTATAGTCTAGTCTATAGTCTAGTCTATAGTCTAGTCTAGTCTAGTCTATAGCCTAGTTTATATTCTATTCTTTGGTTTAGTCTATATTCTAGTATTTGGTCTAGTATATAGTCTAGTCTATAGTCTTGTCTATAGTCTAGTAGAGAGTCTAGTTTATATTCTATTCTCTGGTCAAGTCTATAGTCATAGTCTAGTAGTCTAGTCTATAGTCTAGTCTATAGTCTAGTCTATAGTCTAGGTCTATAGTCTAGTCTATAGTCTAGTCTATAGTCTAGTCTATAGTCTAGTCTATAGTCTAGTCTATAGTCTAGTCTATAGTCTAGTCTATAG